TCTCGAAGTTTGCCAGCCTGGCCAGCGTCGTGCCCGAGCTCCACGACTTAAAGCACTTCGGCAAGGCCTGGTCGGCCAGCACGACGACAGCCTTGTCGTCGTCGTCGTCACCGTCGTCGTTTCCGTTCGTCGTCTCCGTCGTCGATTCTGATGTCGTCCTCGTCGTCGTGGTCGTGCCGCCGCCGCCGCCGTCTTTTCCGTTGTCGTCGTCGTGGGGGAGCCTCTCGGAGCTGGGTGCAGGAGTTCCCTGCTCAACCCCTTGATAAACACCTCGCCTTGGCGGATAAGAGCGAGAGGACGGGGAGGGGGAAGGGGAGCGGGGAGTAGAGAGCGGAGCTACGACCACGCATTTCTTCAGACAGTCCGCCTCCCCAGTGCGCCCTTCCCGCGTGCCGTCCCAGCGCGCCTTCTCAGCGCGCCCTCTCAGCGCGCCCCTCCGGGGCGCCTTTCCAGCGCACCCTCCCAGAGTACCCTCCCAGCGTTCCCTCCCAGCGTGCCTTCCCAATGTACCCTCCGTGTCGCCGTCCCTAATCCAGCCACGCGCGCGCAGGGATCTTGTATGTACGACCGTTCGGGCCCCCTGAGGGGGCCCCCCTCAGTATGATCAGATAATTCCCTCCCAGTCGCACCCTCACACGGCTGGTAGGGCGAACCGGGCGTTCCTCCTGAAACGTCTCCATCGCGTATGGTCTCGAACTTTGAAATTTGGTGGGCGACCATCGTGCAACGTTGATCGCGGGCACGAAACGGCGGGGCGGGCGCCTCCACCCCAGCTCCCATGCTTGGGCGCAAGGGACGGTGGCGCCGCGCGACGCGCAGCGGCGCGGGGCGACGCGAGCCCAAGCGATTGGTGCGAGGCGTCGTACAGTCTGCCCATCTTGCATGGGCGAGCGCGCGAGGGGAAGCGTGCGCCGCCCAGGGTTGGGAGGGGCGCCTCGCACGCTCGGCTGGGTGGGTGTCCCGCCGCGCTCGGCGAGGGGCACCTGCGGTGCGAACGGCGGATTGGACAGCCCGTCCCCTTGGACTCGGCTTGTTTGTTCGCTGATGCGCGCAGCATCCCGCCGCGCGAGGCCATCGTGCTGATGTCGCACGGCCGCGTGTGGTACGTGCGCAGATTTGGCACCAGACGCCGCGGTGCTGCGGCTGTTTGGGCGGCGCGGCGAAAATCAAATTTTGAGCCTGGAGCTGTTGGCCATTGCTCTGGTCATGTCCTTTCTCGGGCGTCTATTGCCGCGCGCAGCGTTGGAATTTTTGTCGGACAACCGTGGAGCGCCCTGGGGCGGGATTTCCCTATTGCGCGGAGGACCTCCAGATTGTCAGCGCGCTGTTTCGCAATAGCGGCGCGTTCTCGAATTATTGCGGGCGCTGGCGCACAGCACCCGCTGTTGTCGGCGTCGACGGCTGCCTTCGGTGAGCGCTCTGTGAAGCGCGCGCGATCGGGCATCGCGAAGAGGTGTCCGGCGCCCCCTCTGGGTCAATCGATTCGCACAGCGCGCCCTCCTTTCCAGAGTGGTCGGGGCGAGCATCTCGGGCGCGGCGGCCGCGTCAATCAGGACGGACCTGGCGATGATCATGTGTTTCCGGCGTGCGCTTCTGTTGCGCCTGCCCAGTGACGGCGTGCCTGCTGTCTTCGACGGTTCGGCGTTCAACGAGCGGCGCCGGGCATCGGCGCGCCTCCTGGGGACGGCGCGAGGTTTTCGTTTGCAGCGGCGCAGAAATTTGGAACGGCCCGTTGCAATTTGGCGCAGGTGCCGGCGCCGCGCCGAGGGCGGCAAAGGCGCGCGCCCAGCGCGCGCGTCTTCGGCGCATTCTTCCAGAAATCGGGCGTGAGCTCGCGGACCTTAGCCCTTTCCCGCTGACGCCGTAGCCGCCGTCCGGATTGTGGTCAGGGCGGTTGGCGCAGAGCCCTTGAAGAAATGCGACAATGAGGCGATTCGACACGGGCGCGCGTTCAATTTAGTCGAGCGTGGCGCCGGCCCGGCCGAGATACTTCACGCGGGCGGATGGCGGAACGCTGCCTTTATGGGGCATTTGCACGTCGGGCCCCTCGAACGGAACGCTGCTCTCGAGGCCAGAGACGATTGCTTTTCCGAGATCGATGCGCGATGCCGTGCTTTTGGTCTGCGCCCGTTCGCACGCGGCGCGCCCGGCCGGGCCTCCCAATGAGCGCCCAGCGCTCCGTGACAGTGGGTGGTCGCACTGGGCGTTCGGCGGGGCCAGCGACGCAAGCTAGTGCCAGAGCCGCGGCTGGCTCGGGGCATCGGCACCCGTCGTCGCGGTGCGACGCGCCGAGCCGTTCGGCGTCCGCGCCAAGGTTCTGTGGCGGGCGATCATCGTGCCCCGTTGATCGCGGGCACGAAGCGGCGGCCAGCCCCCATGCTTGGGCGAAAGGGCGGTGGCGCCGCGCGACGCGCAGCGGCGCGGGGCGAAGCGAGCCCAAACGATGAGTGCGAGCAGTCCGCCCTTCTTGCATGGGCGAGCGCGCGAGGTTGTGCGTGCGCCGTCCAGGGTTGGGAGGGGCGCCGCGCGCGCTCGGCTGGGTGGGTGTCCCGCCGCGCTCGGCGAGGGGCAGCTGCGGTGCGGCTTTTGCCCGCCCACCGCTCCTTTGGTGGCCGTTCGGCTTGGGGTGTTCGCACGGGGCGCTCGGTTTGGTTGGCGACGAAGGCTAGTGACAGAGCCGAGGTCGGTGGGGGGCTTTGCTGCGCGCGGCCGGCGTCTTTCGGGCACTGCACCCATCGTCGCGGTGCGACGCGTCGAGCCGCTTGGCGTCCGCGCCAATGTTTTGTGCAATAGCTTCACGGGTGGAGGGCGGGTTGTTCTCAGAATGTGGTTTGCGTTTGGCCGCCCCGCGCATTCATTTCAAAATTCAGCAACAGCTCCAAGGATGGAAAGCGAACGATGTTCAACATGTGGTTATCTCCTCAGCGCCGCGCGCATTTATCTATATATATATATATATATATATAATCGCAACCGCTCCAAGGTTTGAGGGCGGGCCGTTTTTTTGGCATGCGATGGTTGCTCTAGCACTGCGCAACTTCTCTTTGAAAGCTGTCAGGAACTCTAACGGTGGAGGGCGGTGCGTGTTCAATAAATGGTGTTCGCTTCCGCGCCGCGCATACTCGTGCTCAAAGTCAGCGTCATGTTCAAAACTCGTAGGGGTGAGGTCTCAGGCAATATGTTCTGGCACGATTTTGGAGTTGTCAGGACGCAACAGTCACGTTGATTCTCGGCGTTGGAGTCCCATGGATGGTTTCCTGGCACGATCTAGAATTGACAGGACGCGGCAGTAACGTGCATTCGCGGTGTTGAAATTACACGTGCGGTGTTTTGGTACGATTGACGACTGACTGACGGTTGTCTTCCAACGACGCACTTCCCGCAATGGTGATATATTGTCATAGGGCCCTGTCAAGAAGAAGCTTTGGTGGTTATAGCAACACCGTTGGTGCGCTTCGGGCTTACCTTGGTTTCTCCTTTCCTCCTCAATTAAGAAAGGGGTGTGTGGAAACCGAACGGGGGATTGGATACGTAAGGGGGGGGGGACGTGGAAGTGGAGCAGCGGGAATCGACTGAGGGGGGGGGGGGGAGGTGGAGGAAGACGAGGCCGAGTGGGGGAGCTATTGGTGGAGGGCCATTGTCACTGGGGTGATGATGGTGGTGATGATGGTGGTGAGAATGCCGCTGGTGATGATTGTGGTAATGATGATGCTGGCGAGAATTATGGTTAGTCGGATGATGATTGTGATGATGGTGGCGTTGATGTTGATGGTGGTGATGGTGGGGAGAAGGCGGATGGTGGTGGCCATGATGGTGCTGATGATGTGTTGATGATGATCAAGATGATGGTGATGAATTGTCTGTCCATGATGGTAATGGTGTTGAGGGTGTTGTTGCTGCTGCTTATTATGCTGATGTTAACGAGGCGGGACGAGGAGGGGGAGTAGGGATGCGAAGCAGGAGTGGGGAGGATGCATATGATGATGAGGACGCGGACTATGAGGGCACGGGGAGGAGGGAAGACGATGATGGGAGAGGGTGGCGTTGGTGATGCTGAGGATGCTGCTGATGCTGGTGCTGATTATGATGATGATAATGATGCTGATGATGGTGATGGTGATGATGACGCTGATGGTACAGCTGTGGATGAGGATGAGGATGATGATGATGATGATGATGATGATGATGATGATGATGATGGTAATGGTGACGGTGACGATGCTACCGATGACAATGACGACGATGTTGATGATGATCCGGATCATGGTGATGATGATGATGTTGGTGATGATGGTGGTGCCGTCGATGCTCATGACGAAGATGACGAGGATGGTGGTGATGATGATTATGATGACGATGATGCTGATGTTGATCCTGACGATAATGACGATTCTGACGACGATGCTGATGCTATTGATTATGCTGACGATGGTGATGCTGCTAATGATGATTTTGTTCATGGTGACGGTGATGGTGAGCATGTTGACGATGACGATGTTTGACGATGACGATGGTGACGATGACGATGACGATGCCGATGATGATCATCATGATGAATATTGTAAGGATGATGCTGCTGATGATGATGCTGTTGACTATGCTCGTGATGATTGTGCCCGCGATTATGAGGATGCGGATGGAGGCGATTCTGATGATGATGATTAGGATGATGATGAGGAGGATGATCAGGAGGAGGCTAATAATGATGATGATGCTGATGATGATGATGATGATGATGATGCTGATGATGATGATTATGTTGATGTTGATGATGATACCGATGGTGATGTTGATGATGATGCCGATGATAATGCTGATGCTGATGATGATGTTGATGATGCTGATGCTGATGATGATGATGATGATGATGATGATGATGATGAGGATGGTGATGATGAGGATGATGAGGATGCTGATGATGCTGATGATGATGACAGGGGGAGGAGGAGGAAGAAGAGGTGGTGGAGGCGGCAGGAGGAGACTGAAGAGTTCCAGGAGGATGAGGAGGAGGGAGGCTGGAGGAGGAGCAGAGGGGAAAGGGGTGTGGTGAA